GTGGCGCTGGTCCAGCATAGCCGATGGATCCGTTTTTTTCTGTGTTTTTTCTCTGTTTGAATCCATGGATTGATCTTGGAGGCATTTAAAGGAAAAACTAAATATTCACCACGAATTATAAGTATGTTTCCGACTTTTCCGTTGAAAAATGCAATTCTGGGATTGAAACGACATTCAAACGCCAAGTGGCATTGTTATTTTAACAAATTGAAAATGGTCAAAGGGCTTTAAAGTTCATTTTTTCCGTTGAACAATTTGAGTGAATTGATTGGCACCATTTTCCGAACTGAGGGACACAACGTAAGTTCCAACTGCATGGCCAAATCAAGGTTTTTTCATGGCCGAGAGACATTATTTGTCGATCTTCAGTGTGGTACATCAGCTTAAGCATCAAGCACCAAACAAACAAATGCATGTATGCTGTCATCCACGGGTTCAACACCCTGTCTGTGGCACAGAAGTCTGCAGCAACACTTGCCCATGTTAGCAGTTTTGCGTCCAATTTTTTCGCCCTGATTGCAACAGCTCTCTGACTGGATGCCTCCATAAAGAGTCAAATTTGAAACGCTTGCCAAGAACACCACACATGTTGCATGGCATTGCAGCTTTCATGTTTCATTGTTTCATGATTTTACTGATAGCCAACTATACGTAATCACAACAACACACACCCCAAAAAAAAACGACGGGGCCTGTGTTTTGGATCTCGCTTCCAAGTCCCGATTGAGCGAGCTCCCCGGCTTCCTGTGAAGACATGAATCAAGCAAGAAAATGCCATGGCTCCATGGTGCAAAAATGTCCAAATCTGTCCACATGTGTCCAAATTTGAAATTGCGTAGCAGCTGCCACTCCTTTTACTTCGAAGCCAAAGGCATCAAACGTGGATGTACTTGACATGAGTCTTTCATGCAAGCAAAATGTGAAAACTTGATACTTCTCGATTTGTGCGCGTCATCCTTTCCAAGTCTGCAAATGACATCAACTGACATGCTATGAAGTCCATGGGTGCTGATCACATTTTTTCGTACTCCTCCTCTGAGGTTTCGAGTCTTGACTGAAATCTCAGTCACCTGGGGATCAGCCTCCATTGTTTCAAGTGGGTTTCATAGATTGCCACTACATCAGCATGTCCATTGCGTCTTGCATCGCTTGTCATCTCTTCAAACCGAATGATCAGCTGTTCTACGAACCTTTGACGGCGGTCTGGGTTCTCATAGCAGCCATTCTGATAGGTAAGGCCCAGCAAATCCACCTCAAATGTTGAAGGATTGAAGCATAACTCCGGTGCTCACGTGCCAACACGTTGTTGAGCTGAGCCGTCAGGTCATTCAGTATGATCTCTGCACCAATGGGTCTGTCCTTTGAGTTACTTGTAGAAACGTGGGGATCGCTCTCAAGAGGTTCTGACTCCGCCTGTTCACTTCCAGACATACCGTCATCTGTTGTATCCCCATGCCCAACTCCATGAAACTGTTGTCGGATTCCTTTCAAGTAAGTAGTAGTTGGACCCCATTGCATTGCGAGCCACAACACTGGCCCTTTCTGAGGCGTAAAGGCCACGCCTTTCTTCTGCAGTTAGGTCAGTGACCCTTGTAAAACCATCCAACTCAACCAGGCCGTGACGCACGGATTCGGAGTAGTTACTCACCATCCTGATCTGTCCTTCCAAGCCAGACACCCACCCTTCCAAAGCAGAAATTTGTTCTGTTGTTCTGTCACTTGCATCTTGATGGACTATGTATGCTCTGTCAGCATCTGCCAACTGCCATGCATGCTGTCTGAATTCTTCTGGCGTCCGTTGTACAAATTTCACTGCAGCAATCAACAAGCCAAGCCATAGCAAAACCAAAACCAGCATCCAAAAGAAAACCCAGAAATGTTCATCGCCAGCATCATTCGGCGAAGCACCAATTTCGCATTGCTCTCCATCATTTCCAAAAATCTTTGTACCAGCGGCTAAGCTAGGCTCAAGGCCCATGACAAGCTTGATCCTGGCAACTGTTTTTTCCAGCTTGCTGAGCTCCTGGCCAACTTGTCTTTGGCCATATTCTGAATGAACTCCAACTTCATGAAGCAGCAGCATGACAGGTTGCTTTGCCAACGCTTTTGTTCCCAAATCAGCCACATTCCAAACTGTAGAAAATTGACATATGCAAACGCTACCTTGTCGCGCATGCTCTTGAATCCATGGGATTTTGCCATCCACGTGTTTCAGCTTTCCAGTACCTTGGCGGTTAACAAGTTGTCTCGCGCTCGAAGAATCTGTCAGCAGCACATGTTCGATTGAAGCTCCCACAACAAATACTCAAAGCATCTCTTGATGTACGCTCCACCACAAAGTGTTGATACAAGACCGTGCAGTTCTGACTCGCATGAAGAAAGTGATATGACACGTTGTTTCCTGCCACTTCCATAGACCATCTGACCATTCAGCAAGTGAATCCCACAGGATGCTGAACGTCGATGCACACGGTTGGAACTCCAGTCAGCATCGCTAAAGGACTCGAGGATCCAAACCTTCTCATCTGTGGACTTGCAACGTCCATGGCCAGCAATTGGTTTCTCCAGGACAACTGCGAAATCACTTGTGTTGCACAAGTATCCAATCACCTTTCGAAGTCCCTGCGCTGCACCAACTGTTGGGGAACTCATCTTCTGCGGAAGCTCTTTCACCACAAAAAGCAAATCAGGTCTATCCCTCGCTAAATAAAGCAGCATACCTAGCACCGATCCAAAGTGGAAGGTTTCTTCATTGGAAAGTGGCCTTGATATCTTCCATCTGGATTGTGTTGTCACATTGAATTGTTTGCTGTCGCGCACGTCCAAAACTTTGTTCAAACAACTGAATCACCTTGTTCACAGCTGTACCTGGAATCAACGCAAGACCACATGGGAGTCTCACCAACTTACGTTTGAGAAAACTGATTGAACTGCCAACATCACCAAGCACTGTGGCATTGAGAGTATCTTGGTCACCAAACTTCTCAGAAAAACCTCATTCCAGTACTTCGTGCTACCGCAGAACATCACATCGTCTACGTGGATCAGCAAAGCACATTCACTGTTTTTGCACAAGCATGGTTGCTCTGGGCACCACTCCATGTTGAAAGTTGAAGCCAGGTAAGCTCTGAAATGCCAATACCAACACTTAGCCTTCTTCAGCACAATGTGGTTTCCAGAAGATAGTTGCACTCGAAGTGGGGTCGATTGATCGACCATCAGGAATGTATCTTTCACATCAACTGTGCCAAGCGTCACTTCAGTTGAGTCTGCATTGCTTGTTTCCAACTGCGCCAGTTTTTGAAGGAATACCATGGGTAAAACATTCATCACATGTGAAGAGGTTGCCGGAGAAATGTATCTGAACGCCTCTCTTTGAATGCTGCTAAACGTTCAACACGCTGTTTCTTCTGAGTTTCAACCCTTGATCTTTTGCTCTCATGCTCATCTGGAACATCATCATGCACGTGTGTAGGATGACTCATTCTTGGAGTCACCGGCTGAGCCGTTCAAGAAGGAATTGGAGAAACGGGAGCATGGACAACTGGGGCAACTGGTTCAACCTGGCTAACTACCATCGCCTCTGGAGCATTGCCAAAACCTGTGACCTGTTCATTATCAGAAACTTCAGCTTTGACTGCTTCCACGGCTTCTGCAAAAGTCTCGGTTTGTCAAGAGACAGGAGAGAAAGAAATTGGGTGGGACTAGGGTGGGACAACTTCTGCGCTCCAAAAATTTTAATGGAAAACCTGCTCACCTATCCCTTGAACCAAGGTTGCTACCCGAAATATGGATCCTCAAGATGTTAAACACTTCAGGTCATGCGAGAGCCGAAAACCGAAAGTATGATCTCAAGAACCAACACCTGCTCTGCATGCTTCAAGCCCCCCTTTGCGCGCGACACAGCACAAAACAAGACGAAAGTCAATTCATGTGGTTGTCCTATATCTGTTTGACTCACCTCCTTGAGAGAGGAAACAGCGGTTTCCAGTCAAAACAATTCTAAAGGCACAAACGCTACATGAATTTCAAACTCGGTTTGTGGACAAAAGTCACAAAATACGTGACGTCCAAATTGTTTGGTTTCAGGTTCACAAATCCCTAGATCTACAAACCCTACAAACTAATTAGTCCATCAAGATAGGTCATTAAATCCCCTTAAGGTGGGTTTTCCTCCCATCAGTCGCCATCTTAGTTCTCAACACAAGTCTCAACAGAGACCTTTCGGTCAAGTGATGGCTTTAGACATCACTTGGGAGAAAGCCCACAGAGCTTTCGGGTACAAACGTTAACGACCTATCGACGAACATCGCAACATCTCTACAACTTCAAATGGTCACATGCAAAAACTATAGCTCAAAACCCTTCGAAACAACTTCAAACGTTCCAAAACGGTTTCAAACCTACTCGTCCAACTCAGAAGCCCTCTGAGGTTGGTATGTACACGCAAAACGACATGCATCTCCTTGCAAATTCACTTTCCATCTCAGAACCTTCTGAGACTGATATGTATGGTCGCGAAGACGGCAACGTCGAGCGATATGACAAAGCAGCCTCCACAAATACGTACAGTATCTATAGACAGCAAATTCAGATACTTCGACCAAAATAGCTGTTTCTTGTACCAAATTCAGATATGAATACACCATTCTGCAGCAAATCGTCCAGTGAGAATCAATGCAGCCACCAAACTGCCTCAACTCCGCTGAAATCGACTCAAATACAGATCTGAATGCATGCCATGACTTCGGAATAACCATGACTCCTCCTCATGCAGAAAATAGAAGGCTTGCCACCATGGATACACGGCGCTCCACCAAACATAGTTTCCCCCCCCCTGTCGACGTGGCATCCATGGTCGCTCTTCTTCAAAATCACATGCTGAGCAACCCAAGGCGATAACTTCCGTCATCTATCAGAATACTCAGCAATACCATCACAATGATAGATCTCCTCAAGATGCAAAAGTCCGTTCATATCCCTTCTTGGGCTGATAGTTG